CCTGGAATAATCGTTCCTTGCCAAAGACATAAAGACGGAGCACTAAAAGCAAAAAATGAAGCTTCTAGAGCTTCTTTTCAATCACCTCTACTATTGGCTAAAGGATTGGCGGCGAAATCGGGACAAGTTTGAATTCAAATGTAGGGCGGGAACTAATAAATAAAATTGCGGAAACAAAGTATTTTAGGTTGATTTTTGCCCAAATTCAGGTACACACTCATATTTTATTAACTTTAGGTTAGTTTCGGTCCGTCGTCGACCGACTGATTTCATTTGGGAGTAACGTAGATCTAGAACTGTAACGGCCTGTTTGAACCTGCAGAACCACCATAAGCAGAAGAAAAACTAACTTTATCTGAGATTACTGCCTGTTACCGAGCAAAAGTAGGTGTAATATATTAGGACGCAGACCGAACTTTCTTAATATAATCGTTTTAAGCATTTAAAACACGTTTCGAAGAAGAAATAAGGAAAAATCAATAGGACAAGTTCAAATCAAATTTCCGTTTGCCGCCATGGATTCCCGCGCTCATTTACACACTCACACAAACGCGCAGCGCCGAACCTAGCTTCACTTTTTCCCCGTGCTTTTAGATACGAGCACTCCGTCTTTATGTCTTTGTTCCTTGCCGATACTTCCAGGGTTGTATTTATTATCTAAATAATTATCAGGCAAATGTTTTCAAAAGGATTAAAATACAAAAACTGGCTTTCTATAATAATTATAGCGGCTGATTTTCACTCATTTTCATACGCAACCTCGATAAAAAGGCAAAAGGCGGAACCGCGGAATGGTCCCTCGTCCAACTGTTCGATGTCCAACTCGCACTCGGAACTCCGGACCATTGTTCAATTCAATCCACCCAGCCAGCCAAGCCATGCCATGCTATGCCGTGAATTTCAAAATGAAAACTTAATTTGATCTACTTTTCATGATTCTTAACGAAGAATCGATTGTATTATCGGCGTCTACTTGACTATACTCAGTTTCATCGAACACAGGTAAATTATCTCTTTCACTTCTTGACGACGGACACACCTAAGTATGAGCCTGTCACCTTGTACTTACATTTTACATTACACATTTGTCATGTCAAGCTATACTGATCAAGTAACTCGAGTTTAATTTTCTTTGCCGATTTACGATTCAGTCGATATGTTCTAACGAGCGAGGTAATTGTGAATTCTATTCTCTTGGTTTGCGAGTGCATTTACTACCATGTGCTATTCCTAACCGTGCTTACGAAGTTGATCGAAGAGTCTACGTCTAATAAATCTATCCACTCCTTCCGTGGGAAGGGAGATAATCTTTCATCTATTTCGCATTGAAGGGAAAGACCAGAATCAAGATGGTGGATCTTCCGTTGCACTCTCTAAGTGCAAATCTTATTATCCGCGGACTTCATCACAAGTAGAAACTTCCCAACTCTTGCAGGCGAGTGCTATAGGTTGTCTGTTGGAACATCCTCAAACTGCCTGCATTTTCCTTGTGTCTTCAAAAGAATCAAGGACAATTAAAGTTTTGTTGCACCCATTTCCTCTCTTGTACTACATTTGACTGGTGTCTAATTTTAAAGTACCTATCTGGAACTACTTACGAAAGCTTCTATGAGAATGAACCGCTCTACGTATCAGATGTTTCAACTGGTTTCAACTCAATGTATACTGGCAATCAGGTTATCTATCAACATTCAAAATTTAAAATTTTATTGACTGGTGGAATGTATTTTATTTAGTGGCTCAGACCTGTCAGTAGTAAAATGTTCCGTTTTTAAATGTTTCTTGGCCCTCCCTCCATAAGGAAGGGTCTTGCTCTCATTTTAAATTCGTTCTGTTATCAAAAAGTGGTTGATATATTGTTACGTAGTTTATTGTCTGTCTCCAAGGACGGCCATTAACCATAGGTAGATCAATTTGATGATCTGTCTCCCGCTTTGTATTTTTGCAGATCGACACTTCCAAGAGCTTGCCTTATCAGATGTACATTGCTGCTCAGTGCCATTTGCTCTATGCCTGTAGATGTTTCCTGTCATGTGTGGAAGGAACGTCGGGTAGAGAATCGATGGCTACCTTAATATCATCAATGATCGTAGTAAATAGTGAAATTATTTAAGCTGTGGATCTATGATGTCGCTTTTGAAAAATGCTTTCTCCTCTAAAACTAAACTGAAAAATCGTGTTGTGTCAGTGCTTTTCTGAGAGTGGTGTTCTGTATTGATCAGCTAGTAAATCATGGTGCTAATTTTTCTCTTACGTTAAAGAGTGCTTTAGATATTTTTACAATGCACTCATCGTGTTTTCAAAAGTTCCTTCGTACCTGCACCAGTTCTAATCGGAAATTTGGATTTATTGTCTTCAAGTGGATTTTTCTGACCCAGTGGATTACAGATTCGAGCGAGATGGTGAGTGTTGTTTGTTCATTTTCTATTTTACTGAGCATGTCTGCATGGTCCAAATATCATGTGCTCCCATTGGGACGCTTGTCTCATTTGTCTTGATTCTAAGATTTATTTAATTTCCGGGAGCAATTTGGATGGTATTGAAACCTTCTTGTGATCATTTTTATGCAAATGGTTTTCTTTCCATGAAAAATTGTCACGGAAATGATTTCGTTTCCATGAAAAATTTTCACGGAAATGATTTCGTTTCCATGAAAAATTTTCATGGAAATAAGCCACATGGAAATCAGCCACACGGAAATTAGCCACATGGAAATATTTCCTGTTCCATTTTTCCGTGTCATTTTTTCATGGAAATCAACTTCATGGAAATCATCCACACGGAACATTTTTAGCAGGGATCCCCGGGTTCCCGAAAAGGGGCCATTTTTAGGGAGGCTCTTTCACTCTCCGAGAAAAATTAAACTGCTCAGCTCAGGGAATTGACCTTTTCATCGGGATTAAATTTCTAAAAGAGTTCAAACGAAGTACTAACCAGGGTAATTCTCAAAATTCTTTGGCAAGACATTTTTCTGATATAATTTAAGGATTACCTAAGGAGGGAAAATCTTTAGCATATCTGGAGAAATCACAAGCTTGTGTGGGGGCCCCGCAGCGTTCTGAGGCATTGAAATCAAATTCTAAACGTACCTACTTACATTTTGAATTTTGATGGAAAGTAAGGGGGGAGGGGCTTCATTTATATCTGAGCCATGGGGATGCTAGATGATGAGGGATGAGTTTGAGGATTTTTGCCCTCAGCAGAGATGTTTTCAGGAGCATTGAGGGAACTAGTTAGGAGGAGGGGGGAGAAATATTACCCTCTCCTGACTTCAAGAAATATGAGGGCTTTTGCTTAGTTAGCTGTGTTGCTAGACTTTCATTGTGGAATTTGTAATTCTACCAAAAATATTTCCATGTGAAGATGAACCATCAAGCTAAAAATTCAACTCCGCATTCGCACAAATCTATAAATTTTTTTTTGTGGCACAATGGTACAACTTCTGGGAAACATCCTGTTAAAGGTAACGAGGCACTTAGCATATTTCTTGAAAAATTTGCTAAAAAATATCTTTGCACATTTCTGCTTTTGATAACTTATACCTACTAGAGTCCCTTTATACCCAGAGTAACGACAACTCGATTATCAGCTGACTGGCAGCCGACCTTGGCTGGCCATGGAGGCCGAAACTAGTGCACTCAAACGAACGATATTGAGGGATAAGGATCAGGAATCCTGCGATGTCTGTCACACAAAAACAACAACATCAACAAATTGATCAATTAAAAAGAAAATGAGATTGGTTTGTGAATAATTTCTTATTCTATTTTAATTTTGGACCGATGGAAATAACAATTTACTCTCGATAAACCACAATTAGGTAAGATTTTCATTATTCTTGTTCACATTCGAGGTACCGCCATCTTGGTGCACTAGTTTCGGCCTCCATGAGCGAGAACCAATCAGAATTGGATTTTTTTTAGGCCACTTTCAGCCCAATCCTGGCAAATCCTGGCCCAACCAAAAGTGAGTTGTCGTAACTCTGGGTATAAAGGGACTCTAATACCTACAAAAGTACATAACGATCCAAAAAGTGGTGAATTTTACCAGTCAGGCATCAAGGGCTGAAATATGGGAGCATAAATATAGCATTAGGTTAGCTAAGATGACATTTGAATCAGTGAGTTCGAAAATACGCACCAACTCGGAAAAAAAAATTTTCAGGAAACACCTAAAACTTCGCAGCGGGCGAAGAAGTTAGTTTAAGAAAAACTTTTTTGGTGCCAAAGGACGCAAGAAGTACCTACTCTAGAGACTTTTAACGCACCAAGTTTCAGATACTGATTTTTCATAGTCTGCCCTGAAAAATTTATATTTTTTGACCTGAATAACGCTTGAATATTTATATAACTTGTTGGCACAAGTTATACTGAACCGAAAAAAGAAAACCGCATCGGATAGTCACCCGCGTTTCCCTTGATCGGCCAAAAATTGGTATTTCCAATGAAATTCTTCGATTCTTCCCTTTTCCCGTCGCCGTTTCGAGCACTTCCGATTGCAATTTCGAAATATCCTTTTGCGTGCAGATGCTTCTACTTATCCAGAAGTGTAACTAAACCGTAAAAAAGTGAAAATCGAAAAAAACCCGTGTTGGAGTGTTTCCGAACTCACTGATTCATTTTACATTATTGGAAACATGATTATGTGGATGGATAAGGTGGGGAGGCGGCATAGAGAAAAAAAAGGAGGTGTTTGCATCTTGAGGATTTGTACCCACCTACGTCATCAATGTAAACAAGACGCTCGTTGAGGGTTATGTTGACGCTGTAAAAACGGACCATAATGTCCGATTTTTTTACTTAAATCAACTCTTTATTTAATTTCAAGCACTTTTTATAGAATGACTTTTTCCCTTAAATTACACCATTTCCAAGAAAATCGACAGGATAAAAACGTCGCTGTACCCAATGACGTCATCAAAGCTATAGATACTCTATGAAAAATTCCAAGATGCCCGAAATGCAAACACCTCCTTTTTTTTCTCTATGGGGAGGCGGCAGACGATAGGATGGGTTAGAGTAGGTATTGGTTAGAGAGTGCTCGAACTGCTCTGAGTTCCCGTCGCGCCACGCAGCCATCTTGCCTGCTCATTCCGAGGGGGTCTTTGCCTGCAAAAAGTAAACATCCCTTATCAAATGTTGTTTTTTATTTTTGTCGAAGTTTATCCGCCCGTCGCACTTAGTTGGCACTTAGCAAAGCTTAGATTGTAAACATGTGATGTGCTTTAAATTCTATATCTTACCTAGTCAGCGGGAGCTCATTAATGAGCTTGAGTCATCTTCAGGAGTCAGTCTGATAACAAGCATCAGGTACTTACATAGATAGTAGTCTTTCTTCAGAAAACTGATTCAATCAGGTTTATGGCCCTTTAGTATGCCTGCCTGCAGCTCCAGGTATGCCTGTGAGGAGAGATCGTCACTTTCTAGTCTGTGACAGGGCTTTAACTTATTTTGTTGAATGGTCGTTAAGGTATCCCTAAATTTTAAATTATTTGTGTGAAGTGTATTTTAAGGAATCTGTGAAAGACGCAAACTGCACTCAGGATCGAACCATTACCCCCTCGATGACCGTACCTAAAGATTCGTTTTCAGGTCAAGATACAACTGGTTGTATCGTTTAACACGGCTCATCCGGGGAAAACCTGTAAAAAGCTCTTTTTGACTCCTTAAAGTAAAATTTGACGGAGGAAGAATTCTTTCCCTTAAACTTAAAGTCTAAAGGCCTTGAATGCCATAAATTTTGGCTGCTAAATCTGTTTCTGGGTGGGGAAAAAAAAATGTAATAGTAGAAGTACACACAACATAGGGACTGCATTCGTCAAGGGACGGAGAGGAGGGGAGGGGGATGTAGTTATCCACTTGAATGTTTAAAATTCTCTGCCAGGTAAGTGATACCGTGGCAAATTTTTGGTATTTTTCTAAGATAAGATCCTCTAAGGGCACCAGTCATCTGATGGAACACTCAATTTCACTTATTCACCTCGTCCTCTAAGGTCCTGTGTAAAAATTCACAACCCGATGCACTAACACACTCACAGATGAGTTCTGAATCTTTTGGCATGGTCATCTAGGGGGTATTGATCTAAGTAACTCTTTTTGCTCTCAATGATTCACTTTAAGTCTCACGGTAATTGGCAGTCACAGTTTCCCTTTCATGATGATATGAAGAAAGCCTCAGCTTCTCTGTAATGAATTTTCTCTTGTTCATTTTTTTGTGTTTTCTTTTACGCAGCTGATCATGGTTGTATCCAAACCCATGCATTGCATTCAGGATGTGTGTCAGAAGTTACTGATTTCTTACTTTGAAAATCTGCACACTCATCCGTATCGGACGAAAGCATTCACCAGGTAAGAAAATTTCAATACTCTAAACTATTAAAGCACCTGTCTAGATGTAAGGTGCAACAAATTTTCTATTGAGCCAATTCATTGACAAATTTTCCATTCGCCAAATTTTGCGAATTTTTTTGAAAAATTTAATGTGATAATTACCCATTTACTATTTATTAATCTACATAATTTTAAAATTAGCCACCCCCAAGTAGGGTAGGTGAAGTCAAGAGGCTGCATGGGGCAAAGAGCCGCACCTTGTTTTTTTCGGAGGATTGTTGAGGTTGCCACTGTGACGGTGTTAGTTACGTTGGTAGTGGTGTTGTTGCTGTCTTGTCGAAGCTTTGGACCAAATGGACGCGTTCCCTTGAAAAAAGGAGGAAAGTTAATTTTTCATGGAAAAGAATCAATTTTTCCAGCTTAATTTTGGTCAATTTTAAGTTCTGAAGTTGATAGACAAATTTGGACAAGCTGCAGTTTAAACAATGATAAGGACTGTTAGAATATCCTGCTGTCACTTTTGCGCTAATGGCCGTGGCATTGAATTTTGAGGGTATATTTAAACCAGTGTAATCAAATAGGGCAAAAAGCGGCAGTTCCGATGGGGCAAGAGGTTGCATGCGGCCCTCCCTAAAATACTACTAATACCTAATCTAATAACTAATACTACTAATACTAAATCTTTTACCAAATAATTTACCAAATATTATTAACAATTACCAAAGATCCTAAAATTTAGGGTAGGTGGGGACCTAAGGCCACTTTTTTCTGTTGCGGCCGTCTGTCGGCTGCCGTATCACATGAAAATCTCGGAAATGTGGTAAATTATCAACTGCAGACCCTTCGATACGAAATTCTGGGAAGTATTTCATTTTGTGCATAAGGTAATTCGATGGACACCATATTTTGTGTCAGAACGGCATGTGGTGTATGATACGAGGGGCGTTCGTAAAGTAAGTATATATCTTTATTTTCTCCGGAACTAATGAAGATAAATTAAAACGGTAAAAAGTGTTTTAACCGTCATACTCTCAGCTTTTCAAAAAGCCTTCGTTTTTAGTCGTGCGGCGGAGCCGTATAGACTCTAGGTTTCGCCGGAGGCTAAAAAGTGTCCACACTTTTAGGCTAAGTCCAAGAGGAGAATTTTCGAGGAATCAAGTAACATATGAGGTATTGATATCGGTGCATTTTGGCCCAATGGAGATGTTACATGTGCGAGGAATTTGCAATTTAACTGTTGATTCTTGTATAAAAGTTCGCGAGGAACACAATGGTGCCACTGGTTTTCTCTGAAATCATCTCCCAAGCTCAAAAAAAACTCTCAAGTTGAGGCCGAAATGGAGGGGATATCCCACCTCACCCTGAGAGTCCACGTCTACATGAAGACTAACTCTCCATGCAAAGATAGGGAGCAAATACATTAGCAGGGTTGCCGTATTTTCAGTTTTGGAGTCCCCAGATAAATTGGTAGCCCTGTCAATGTATTAGCTCCCTATCTTTGCATGGAGAGTTGGTCTTGATCTAGACTTGGACTCTCAGGGTAGGGTGGGATATTCCCT